GCGTAATCCACGGTGTGGCGGTGTTTTCTCGAGTCATCCTGAGAGAATGACTATACCCTATAGGGCTCCAAATTCATCCAAATTCTAAGTTCACGTCCTGGTTGGGGGGGGTTCACTCCATTCCCTCTTGATCCAGATTGACCATGGAGTTCCAAACTAAATAATCCTCCTGTCCTTCCAAATCAGCCCCTAGGGCTCCTGGCCCACCTCCGTTTCGACGGTGGGACAGGGGTGGGTGCCAGGGGGGTCGAATACCACCGAACCTGAGGATCTGGGCCAGGAGCCCTAGGGATGTATAGTCTCTCGAGTAATAAACCCCCATATATTGAAGAGGAGTTTCCAATTCAAACAAGGTGGGGTATCAATTAAGAGTCTACATTACCCTACCAACGGCCCTTATAGTTTCCCATGAATAATACCGGTTTTCACAGAGAAACCACGTGTCTTTTTCTAGGGAAAACCATGCTTCTGATAGCTTCCATATGAGGGTCCAGGGTCGCGTCCGGGTAAATATGTATATTGGGGGTATCATATGCCAACCCCCAACCCCCCAGGGCCTTTGCATGGATAATGATGGGACTGGTCCGACATCTGAGAAAGAGTGAACATCTTACACAGACTCCTGCAGGTCTTAGAAACAAATATCACACCAGGGCCTATAGTATATTATAGTATAGCCTTCCAAGACATGTATAAACAAATGGTTGAACTGGTCAGTCTAAAATCCTCTCTCAGGCGCGGGCCTTAGTTAGTTGTAGGTTTTGCAGGTGATTCACATCATTTCTGGGTACGCATATATACATAGACTCCCTTTCACCCCCCCCCTAGTCTCTTTCCGTTTGGTATCCACCAATACCCCCGCACCAACAGCACAGCCCAAGTCACCGCTCGCGATCGCCGGCGAGGACCATGAACTCATGATCCGCCTGCGGGACGCCCCTTCTTCGGCGCGTCTGGCCGAGAGAGAGGTGAAGATATATGGACCATCTCTGGTTGGGAACTCACATGAAAGCGGCCAACGAGCTGTTTGTAGATGGAAACCATGGTTTTGTTACAAGGGGCCATGCGTTACCATGTGAGTTCCTCCGGCATATACAGGTCCATGTCACCCTGTCACGGACTGAACACGTCGGCTTAGCCATGAGCTCTAACAGGAATCCACCAAGTCATCCTTGGAACACCCTGAGGCACTTTCAGGATCAGTAAAAACAATAAACTGCATGCAGCTAATTGCAGCTAACTTGAAGGAACAACACTTAATGTATTAACTTTCCACAAACAGCACTCTCGGAACAACCAAAATTAATGAACCCATTGCAGCATGGTGCGAGGAGAACACACGTCACACGCTGCCATTCTCGGCGTGATGTTCAGGCTTTCTGCACTGGTGCAAAGCTCCAGCACGCTTTTTCTGCATCCAGAACGTGCTGCTGAGATCCAAACCCCTTACAGAACCAAAAGAAACACACAGCGATAACCACAACCAAAACTGCAACGATGATGATGATGATGATCATCATCATCATCCTCCTCATCATCACCATCATCATCATCGTAATATATATATATATATCATGATCATGCTCCCCTGATGCAACACCTGAGACCCAAAAAAACAAGTTGGGAGAACCAAGGTCGCCTCTCCCGTTTCACCTTCCCCTCTGTGCCTCTCCCTTCTGTGGCAAGTGATACATCTGCAGAGGCTCTCGGCACTCGGAGCAGACCTCAGCGGTCGCGGTCGCGACGCGCGCGGTGGATGCGCCCGGAGGCAAGCCGAGCGGAGGCGTAGCGCGTTCCTCACAATGGGGAAATTCCGGAATGCCAAGAAAGGATGTTCCTTTTTTTTTTTGGACTGATTCACATATTGTAATGTACTGTATCTCTTCCAGGATATCGATCGAATCGAGTTTCAAACAGCACCAATTGTGATGGACATCCATTAATTCGATCCATGGATCCCTACCCACAACCCAAACTGAACAAATCTGATAGCTATCGAGGGCGGACCATCGCAGTTCCACCATCGCAGTGTAACTGCATGCGATGCGGGGCCAACTTGTATTGTCTTCTGGCTTTAAAGCCCTTCCTGGAGGACGAAACAGAAAGTCTGAGACATTGACCCTACAAGAACTTCCTCTGCTGACCAATTGCAAGGCAAAGCTATATATTCTGCTGTCCAATCCACCTCAACTCGTGACGAGTAGAATATGATCTGCGTCTTCGTTGCGGGAAAAAAGACAAAACACACATACCTTGGGAGTCAAGTCGACTATAAAAAGAATGGTCTGACTAGGGGACCTGAGTTCGGGAACTTCCTTTACTTCAGCCGGTCAAGTGCCCCGCATACACCGACATCTAAGTGCCGTGCAGTGGACACCGCCCCCATCTGCTGCGGACAGCCACCCATCAGACGCTGGATCCAACGCTGGATCTTGTGGCTGCTTTTCTTGGGGTGTATCTATAGTGCCTGTGGTGCCCTGAGGTGCCTCAACCAAAACCACTGAGCCATTGTCATTCCAAATCTGGAAGGTTGCTTGAATCTGGCATCCGCGTTGGAGTGTTTTGAAGCGGCTTGTATCTCGGAGCTCGGGGAAGTTGTTTTGGGAAAGTGGTCTGGTTCACTATCAGCCATTGTCATCATGCTTGTGACATACTGCTGCAGGAAGAAACCTGCCCTGCACTACGGCAAACCACCCCAACATGCCAAAAGGCTTTTCCAAACACCTCAGGTGCTGTATATAGTTGTTTTTTTTGCATCGCTCATCTCAAAGTTGCTGATCGGTGCGGTGATCTCTCTGCTCGACCACTTCGTCCACATGGATGGATTGGCCACTCATCGACACTGGCCCTTGCTCCGAAACAGCTGCACGGACCAGCGAAACAGCTACGGTGTTTCATGGTTTGTCACCTCCCAGGAGGATAGGCATCCCCGGACCTGAACGAACCTGTTCGGGTGTTGACGCATAGCAGGGGGGGACCTGAAGCCACCTGAACCAGGCCTTCACCGATGAACGCAGATCGATCTCAGGGTGAGTCCAAGGCTTCGAACGCGGCTTCCGCACCCATCGATCTGAGTGTCGTCTCAAAGGGATGGAACGAATGGTGCTGTATGGCGCCCTTCACGGCTGGGGAAAAAGAAGGCAAGAAGGCAATTGGATCCACATGGCACCTATTCCCTATGGATCCACATGCGCTCTGAGGTACGGTGATGTGTTCGGCATGTAGCCCAGTCATTCATACCTTCTGAGGAACGGTGCTGGAGGGACCAAGACATGTTGATGACCAAGAAGCTACTAGGTTGGAGGCCATTACTACTATAGCAACAAGAAGCTACTAGCAACTCATGTTTTGTTCACCTCATGATACCGAACGCCCCCCGCTGAGACGTGAAACTGAAAACCTGAGACCTGAAGCTTCAGCAGGGTTTGTAGAGGAAAGTCATTTTCCAAATGTTCAAGCATAGTTAGTTAGTTCGGGGAGACTTAGTGAACAAACCTAACTCTGAGTTCGGTGGCATCCCCCATTGATCACAAGAAGTCTTTTTGGCTGGGGATGCAAACAGGAACTGGAGGATGCAAGAATCCCATAGCCTACCATTCCATCTATATAGATACAGATCTTTAGAACGAAGATGTTCGTAGATCTACAGCCCAACAGAAGAGACACATGGTAGAGCTACTCTATAACTGTCCCCCTTGAGCTGTGGTAGCGAGACCTAAGTCAACCCCTTGCCAAAAAAGCCAGCGACAAGCCAGCTGCACCTTCTGTTGGCCTGAGCCACGGCAGTTGAGCTGACAAAGTCAAGCAAAGATCTATCAAATGAAGGGAAGGATAGAGCACCACTCCCAGCCCCACCAGTCCCAGAAAATGCAATGCTGGAAAAGCACGCCAATTCCCGTGTGGAACCTGTGGCTAGCGGCTAGCACCACCAACAGGCACCCCTAGTCTTGCCTAGTCTTGGCATGAGGAACCTCTCTTCACCCTGGTTCGACTAGGTTTGGGTCGGCTTGCCCACCAGTGCTTCATTCTGGCACCTTGCAAGAAAAAGGACTTCCTGATGAGATGAGTTGAACCCATCAAAGTCATCATCAAGATCCAGATGTCCATAACAACAACCCATGCATAATAACTTTCCCATACAGGTGATCCCCACAGATAGAAGCCACTAGCTGAAATCAACTAGCTGCCTATATCCGCAATCAATTCCTCATCTTTCCAGTGTCTTTACATGTATCTCCCCCGAAGGCTGCACCACCCGACCTCGCCGTACCCAACACCCCAACACCCCGCCCGCCTTCGGGGTCTTCGAAGGACGCGAAGCCGCGGGAGTTGGTCAAGGCCCTGTGCCGCGTCAGCAGATCCACCTGCCGCGAGCTGCGCGGGGCCCAGCGGAGCCCAGCGGAGCGGGTGCTCCGTCGCGGTGGCGGAGAGCTCTCACCCGCTGCGCGGGTGGAAAGGGGGGGGGCAAGCTGCTCTTCTTGGGTGAGTATAGCCTGTACCAGGTGGTTGGGAGAGATGATTTTGAGGTGGAGCAACATGTCTCCCAAGGCTGGTCATTGGAAGAAGGGCCATCTATCAGAGCCACCCAAGGGTTGTCTATAGCCCGGAGGTTGAGTCCATTCCCTTGTGGGTCCTGAATTGGGTTGTCTATCGTCTCCAGACCCAAACACACCAGACCAAACAGGACAAATCAGTGTGGGTTTTTGATTCCAGGATGAGATCCCTTAGATTAGTCCGTGAATGAGGTCACTTTGAAGGTCCTGGTACCCGGAGATATTCAGACTAGTTCCAGAGTGAATTCCAGAGTGAACGGTGTAAGAAGAGCGTGGACGGGTTTTCTCCTGGGAATTTCTCAATCTCAATCTTGACAACACAGGATAGTGCAGGAGAAAGCCATACAACCGTTCTGGGCTTTTCTCACCTTGTCAGGAACAGAACGGAAGTGAACCGTCCCATGGGATCACGAGTTCGTAGAGACCACCGTACTCAGAACCGTAGTCTTTTTACAGCGCATTCCGACTCAGTCAGACTGTGTCTAATTCTGGGTCCTTTGGACCCCACTCTTTTGACAAATGTGTAGAAACCGCCACATCCACTGACGCGTGACGTGGCCCCAAATGACTTGGCGGATTTGGTGGTTTTCCGCAATCGAGATATAGCACCTCGATGGTGCACGCGAGTCCGAAGTCCGAAGCTCAAGTTCTGTGAAGCATGCCCTGCTGCCACAACACAAATACCCAAGATGAAAAACACGAACACTTCCATTGAAGAAGATTCTTGACCCACCACTAAGTGTACCTGTATCACTGGAGAAAAGGCTCCCAACCAAAAGAGCAATAGAAAGCACGTGCAACACTGCTGCAACACTTAACATAGGGAGACCACGGGAGACCTCCCAAGCTCCCCCAAAAAGAAGGGAAACAAACCAAACTCATTGGTTGGTGGTCGCCCTATGCACATACACAAACTGCTTGCGGCAACTCGTGGTCCAAGTTCAGGACGATGTACGGACACTTCCGGCAACCCACCGAGATAATCATCGGGATTTGACGTTGAATATGAAGCTCAAATATGGCCCCGGAAGGTCCGAGGTGGGTGATCCTATACCGCTGTGTTTTGTTTGTCAAAAAAACAATATCTGTTGATGAGTCGACGTCTTTGTTCGCCGCATTCGGTGCATGAACACGCCCGGGAAGCGCTGTGTCATGCGAGTACCTGGTTTCCGGGGGGCTATCGGCTATCCGAGTACTTTTCTTGCCGGAATTGCCTCGACATGAGGGGATCTGGACCATAATTCAGGTGGAAATCAATAAGACTCGTTTCGAGAGACAAATAGCATTAGTCGCATCAGTGTACAGCTCAAACTTCCAACCCAAACAGCAGCATTTGCAATTCATGGAACAAAACTAGACGTCCTACACGGCAGCTTTATGCCCCAGCCATGATGCTCTCACAATCGACTGCAAGCGATGGGCCCCGTGTATTTACTGTATTGGGCCCATGGAAGCTCGTGGTTCTTTAAAACAAACTCCGACTTCAAGAAGACCTTTGCAAATCTTTGCAAGTAAAGGGAAGATGGTCCAACCAAGTAAGGTCTGTCTTCCCATGGATTGTTTCTGTGAGTCATGAGATGGAGGTGTTTGACCACCGTTCAACCAGCAGAATCAAATATTTAGGAGGTGGACCACCTGCCACGCCTCACGCGCCCTTCCGAACACACACGAAACCACCACCCTGCACGCCCAGGAGCAAGCCAGCGGAGCAAGCTGGCCAGTGGTTGTTCAAACTTGCCGGGGACGGCCTAGAGGATGTCTCGCAAATCCTGACGTCTCGCGTCGCGACCTATCGACCACGCGTCTCGCGTCGGTTGGACGAAAGGGGTTTCTCTCCGGGACTGCGGTGAGTTTGCGAGTTGGCCAAGGTTGAGCGATCTCTTCGTCTTGGGATTTCTACAGCGGACTTTCCCGAGCTTCAAAGGCGAAGGGATGTGGGCGTGTAGCTTGCGAAAAGGAGCCATGGGAGACCTGGCTTTTTGGCGGGGCGAGGCAGTCTGGGTTCGGTGTGTTCGGGACAGAACGACCGGTCTACCCAGGGTCAGGGTCTCCCTCATTTGAGCTACACACACCCACTGCACCTGGGGCAGCACAGGATGCGACGAGGACACACGACCGCCTGCACCACCATATGAAACCCGAGAAACAGCAATGCTTAAGGAGCCCCGGGGGTGGTGTTTGGAATCCTTATTTGCCACCGGATCCACCGACCACCAAACCAGGTCGCTACGGTGAGGAAGGAGACGAAGTTCGAAGTTCTTTTTGGTATGGCGCCAGGGTGTGGGAGGGCCCAGAAGTATTGAACCTGAGGTTCGGTGGCAGTGGATCCATAGGGCAGGGTTTTTCCAACCCTCTTGGACCTCGCCCAAGTCGCCTTTTCTCTTCCCCAGGCGCGATGCTGGACCCGAATCCTCTGGAGGGGTCATGGGTCGAATGCTTTGGAGGGGTCTGGGGTTTCTCACCAATCCCATGGGTTTTGAAGGACCGGGGTAAGCAACTCGCAAAGGTGCTGGAAATACTGAAAAAAAACACATCGTGATCCAAACAAAGCCTTTAAACCATGTACAAAATTGTACAAAATACAAGATCCAGTTATATAGTCCAGCAAATCTTTCTTGTTCCAAGAAAGAAAACCGATCCAAAGAACACCCAAGCAAAAGGGTGACCTCTTCGTCGCATCTTAGCCACCCCCGCCCCGGACGGTCGTCGAGAGCGCCGCTCCTCGAGGCCCAACTCTTGGAGCCGCACCCAGGCTTTGCCGAACTCCTTGGAGCGGCCGCGCGGGGTGGCCCCCAGTCAGAGGTGGAAGAAGGTCCAAAGAAAATCTGAGGTTGACGGTCAGGTCTACGTACCAGGGACCCCTGCTTGGGGTGTCTATAGCTCCTTAGAGGTCTCCAGGGGTATCCATTAGCCACCCCTGGCTCCGGGAGGTCGGTGAACCACGTCCTCTCTCGGGTGCGGCGACGACTGGGAGTGGTGGGGCCTCAGGAACTTCACAAGGAGATACATCGAGTTCCCACCCCACCCTCAAGGTATCATGATTTTCGAGAAAGGTGTTCTACTACGAACGGAGCGATCGGACGCTACGATCGGGGCTCCTGGCCTGCTATAGGAGCAAGAAACTATGAGCCAAGGGCATCGCTAATAGATTTTGCCAATGCTGGACTTGGGCGGAACACAGCGGGAGAGCAAACATCTAGAGTGTCGGAGACCGAACATTCCGAACCACGTTCCTGACTGTGAAGATACGAACAAACTCTGTGACAACTGCGACAATCGTGGACCAGGCTGGGCTCTCAAAGCATCCTTGAACATCCGATAGAAACCGCTCACCGGGTTCTCGTGCACACTAAACCTGCGGATCAGCATCTGATAGAAACCATTCACCAAACCATCATGTTCGTAACTGAGAAGCATCAATTTCTTCCATTCTTCAATCCCCAAAGATGCAGTCGTACCTTCTCAGGTTCGCTGAGACAAGAGACACTGTGATGTAGGTGTGTGCTTTTGTCAGGTCCAGTCATACCGATCCCTGGTGAAGTGGCAGTGGAGTTGTATAGGTATTTGTGAGTGGAGCATCGAACCTCACCGAATGCCTCAAACGGGTATCTTCACATCTCCTCTTAGACCGGAAATCCTGGAGCCAGAAGTTTCCAGTCGAGACCATGGGCCCTACAAGTGTAGTAAAACCTGGACCTCCCTCCTAGAAGTCCCTAAGGCTCCTGGCCCACCTCCGTTTCGAAGATGGTTGGGGTGGGTGCCAGGAGGGTCTAACCACCGAACCTGAGATGGTTGGAGCCCTAGGGAGTATACATTCTCTTTTCCATGACCAACTGACCAACTCCAGTACTTCAGGTCGGCACTCACGTGCTGTCACAGGCCGTTGGATCGTTGGATTTGTGTCACACCTCCCCAGCGGGCCGAGGCGAGGCGAGGCGACTGAAGCTGCAAGAGGCCGAAAACCAAAGGTTCTCATCTTCCGCAAATTGCTGCACGTGCCTGGCGCGTTCTGGGCAGCCCTGTTCTTTTTTTGGAGCTCCCAGGTAGGTCAAGGTCTGAGGCGCATGGGTGGAGATTGTTACCTGTACACCCTGGTAGGTTGACCATGTCAGGTATAGTCCATTGGTCTCATTTTCTGTGGGAAGAACCAGGGTGTTCCGGTGGCATGACCCACAGCCATCTCTCTGCAAACCGACGAGAGATGCTGCGAACAATTGCACCGTTTCGTGGTGAAAAAGCACTGCGTTGCAGCTCCTCAAGGACCTCGTGGAATCCATGGATTGGTTCAAGGGAAAACCTGGAAAGCCATGGATGTTCATCCCTAGCACTATTCCCATGTATTCCCAAACCATCCATATGACTGGCCTGCATATGGGTGGTGGTTGAAAAGGAGTTTTCTTGGGGCCGCATCTATTAAAGTGCCATGGATGGTCTGGGTATGGGAGTCTCCAGTGGATCTGGTCGAGAATTCATGCGCGATGAGCGGCGCTGAAGGACGAGGCCCTCGACGTCCCTTCAGAAAGGCACTGGTCCCACCAATTCTATGAGTCATGCCGCTGTCATATGCCTCAACCAGGAAGAGCACCAAACCCAAAAGTAATGTCTCTCAATCAACCTGGAGTTTTGTTGATTCAATGTAGAACATTAAACCGAAAGTCCATGACTTGGACATCACCAAGTATCATGTAATATGTATAGTGGTTCATATGGACCCCCGTAACAAAGACAGGGTGCCAGTGCTACTCGATTGGCATGTCCATGTATGTCCCCGTGGCCCTGTAGTTAATCAACAGGTGCAAGAAGCACCACTGGCTCTAAGTTACTATGCTTCTCCTTGCATAGGAATTGAGGGACAGGACACCTTGTTATCCGCCGACGTGGAGAAAAAGGTGTCCACCCAGGAGCTGGTGCCTGGGTCTGATGCCCGGTGCACCGCTTTGCTCCCGGAGTTCACGTGTTCGGCCGAGAGCACTCACTTTGGTGTGCCGTTCCGCCGTTCCGCCAGGGGCCCCCGACCATTTAAATGCTGGATCCTTGATCAGCGCCATGTCCGTGTGCAGCATCCTTGGATCCGAGGTAGTAGAAAGAAGGAGATATTGAAGAGAGAGAGAGAGAGATGTGGTAGTATAAATGAGTTCTTGTTCCACTCAGCTGCTGATTTCTGTGAATGTTTATGGTTCTTGGGGTAGCTACTTTCTTGATTGGTGGGATGACACACACTCTTTCTACGAAAGAATAGGTTCGGTTCAATCAGAATAGTTCTAATAGTGAATCTCTTCCCACTGCCATCGTTTGATAGGGAGGATCAAAAAATGATACCCAGCAAGTCCAAAGGACAAGTGAAACATGCTTGGTACCCTTTCGCAAACCAACATGGAACCTGGTGGAAGACCATTTTCCTCCAGAACCCAGTGCGGGGATGTTCATCTGCAGGGAGTAAAGGACACATTCACCACTCCACTTTGAGAACTCAGATCGTATTCAGATCGTTTTCTTTTCAGTGCCTTTCACCTCTTTTGTTGGCAGGGTACACAATCTAGACCCCCTAAATCCCCACTTCGAATATATTTGTTCAACCGTGCCACGATCTGCACGGCACGTGTTCTGGGGCACCCGCCATGCGTCACCGCATCACCCGCAAAAACCACACCAACGGTGCACTCTCCCCCCAACCGCACGGTTCACGTTCTGACCACTCCAAGGGTCATGGTTTCGCCACAGCGGAACTGCGACTTCCCTTGGCTGGTGGTTTCTTCCGTCCTCGGGCCGTGCGGAAGGGGGGGCCTTGGCTGGTGTCTTCGGAGGCGTTGGAGCTGTTTCGATGTTTCGAAGAGCAAGGAACAGGATAGGGTCACAGGACTTGTGCGCTTGGAGGAGGGTCCAATCACCTTCTCAAAGGGTATGTGGATACCCTAGAAAAAGCATGTGAGCCCTGTCTTGCATCAGCAAGGACCCTCCGACCCGGAAGCTCTTGACCCAATGGCAACATAGCGACGTGGATGGTTTTCACCCTGTCAGCTTCACTGCCTATGAAACTGTAAGCCATACGGTGTATTGGCAAGCCAAGCCATACGGCTGCGGCTTGGTAACTTGCTTCTATGAATGAGTACATGTTCTTTTCACCATGGCAAGGAAGGATTCTGTCCAGCCAGCAGTGGTGGAACACTGACACCAACACCTCAGGTATGATACCACAAGGCCTTTTAAGGCCTTTTAGGTATCAGCCTGGTTCTGCAAAGTCGACCGAACTTGATACACTGGCTTGAGGTCACACACAGGCCTGGAAAAGATCACATCTTTAATTACTTAGGGGCTCCAAACAGGTCAATACTGAAGACACTGGCCTTTTCTTCTTGGTTCATCAGCAGCATATTGGCTACGTAATGTCTTTGCTCCAAAGACCCTGTAAAACCTGGTACTGTAAACCTCCTTGAGTACCTCAGTATTTCGTTCGAACTGACCTGTAAGGCAAGGTGATGGCACCATCGACCTTTGTGGTTCTCCAACGTTCGTGACGACGGACACAAACCGGCGTTCTGGCGTTCTCCCCCACGTTCATCGACGGATCGACAGAAGGCCCAAACACTCCATGAGCCCTAGAAGTCGAACCACCATTGTTTTACTAAGGGTTTTACACTACAAAACCAGATCAACCATTTTAGACTTTGACTTCCAGGATGGGACTGAAATATTTAGCTACTTTGGAGTGGTTCCTTGGATCAACGACACTCATGATAGGTAAAGATTCCAGTTCTATAGTGTCTGGGAAGGATACCAATGGACCTGACAACTTGGTCTGCAAACCATCGTATCCTTCTTTTCGTGGAGGTGCACAAGTTCTTTCGGTGCGTTTCGTACGCTGGTCTCTCGTCCTTGGGGAAACCCTCCGTGAAGACACCAACAGCTCAAGCCGTAAAACCAGCTCAAGGCGCCATGACTTGCTGAGCAAGTCCTTGAAATAGGAATTGTCGAATTTCAACTTCCTGAGCTCCGCCCTTCTCCGCGGACCGTCCCCCCACCGTGACACCCGACGAGGTCGTCCGCATCACGTCCGCCTCCACGTCCAGCCCCACCGTCGTCCCGTTTTTCCCCCCCCCCCGGACGGGGGCGGACGTTCGGCACGGAGGGGTTCGGGCGAGAGGTGTCCGACGCTGTGGACTGGCGTGGACCGTGGCGTTTCTGCTCTCAGAGACTCTGTGGCACGGGGATTCTGTGTTTACATGGACCCCCTGACACGTATTCCATACCCCTGAGCCTATTATGACCAATCCACCTTTGTTTTAGTCAAAAATTTACACTACGACACCAGTCGTCCATCATTTTTGCTTATGGTCTGGGACTTCCAGCGATATCATAGATGGAGTGTCTACTGGAGTGTCTGCGGTTGTAAGCCTATCTTCCTGGCAATCTGTCCATCGTCCTGGATCTAGCTTCGCTTTCTTTTCCAGTGATGGGGGATCCAGCTTGGCTTGAGGCCCATCATAAAATAAAAACACGCCGGAACCTGCTCCACTGACGCCGCCCAGAACGAAGGTGGCACGAAAGGTGCTAGCCCGGATGGTCATGCTCCATGCGACTCTTCAAAATCAGCCAAATTTAAGGTTGTTATCCCTAGACCTCCAAGTACCCTCTGAGAAGGTGTTTGGGGTGGGTTTGGAGGGTCCAAGTACCTTCTGAGAAAGTACTTGGAGGTGTAGGGTATATGTCTTGTTTCCTTTTTGACCGCAAGGATGGCAAAGCAGTACCATGGCAGGTTGGGAACCCTCGTCAAAGATATATAACTGCGGAATCTGTATCATTTTGAGGTGGTATACTGACTAACTGGCCACACCGTACACCCTGAGTAGGTTATCTTCCTGTTCCATGTTTTATCATGCTTGACTGAATGAGTGCACTGACAAGACACACATGCGCACCTTTGAGTTGTTTCTTGCATGACCATACCTGCTTCAACCCATAGCTATCGTACGGAGTGACGTCCAACGGTGTTTTTCGTACCCGAAAGCTCCTGGGAATCCTGATGGAAGTGGATAGCATGGTCCCTTGGATGACCACTTGTCCAAAATTTCAAACAGTCTTAAGGAGATGTATCTCCTCAAGGATGATCCGCGTATCCGAACAAACATCCCTTACCCAAATGCTCCATGAGACTGCCAACTTGGCCACCATTGGGTGGTTTTTGGTGGTGAATGTCGGCCATATACCGACTTACATGACCACATACGGCCTTGGCACCAAACCGAGCGACCTATACCTGACGTTGGTCGCGAACTCGCTTCATGAACTGGTCGGCTCACTTGAGAGGAGGGAGACACGAAAGGTAGGACAGCGGGAAGAGAAGAGAACGCGAGAGGCAGGAACAAAAATGCAATGTTCGACATGGTGATTTATCCCCTCGGAGGCGACCTTTCGTAAATATATGTTCATATGCACTTTAAATGTTCAAACATGTGCTCTCGAAATGTTCAAAAAGATTCTTAGGAAAACAAACTTGCCCCATGGCTCAGATCATCGGTGAGCATTGAATTGGAACATCATAGGATTTGAACTATCCTGAAACCAAAAGAGGCTCACGAAGACGCTCCCCAGGAGAGAATTGACGTGCTTCACAAAACAAACTCTAGGTATGTATCCCCTCGGGGAACACCTTTCGTGATTAGAATTTCATATTCACTCTTTCTGAATGTTCAAGAGGGTTTCAACTATCCTGAAATCATGAGAGGCTCACGAAGACGATCTCCAGGAGAGAATTGATTTTAGAGGGGGGGAGGGGGTGAAAGAGTGACTAGGGCGTACACGGTAGAGGTGCAGACCGCTAGTGTCTTTTATGCGCAGAGTCTTATCCTCTTGCTCTTTGAGGTCCATTGACCCTCTCTTGAGCCTTATGGCAGTCAAGCATGGACACACTAGATAGGCCACTGGAGTGGAACCTGTACAAGTAGGCCTCTACATTTCAGCAGGCACAAAATTCATGTCCACTCCTGCCTATTGCGTATGTCGCACACTATTTTTCTACCGTAAGGCTAAAACAGTCCAGCTAGCTCTGACAACTTAAAAGAAAACTACGGTGCCATGTACTTACCTAATCCAGTGTGTTTCACACTTCAGAGAAGGTAATCTCATAGCTACTAAATACAGTGAGGGAGCAATAGCTGACTCACCTCAAGTACAAAATCAAAGCGATAATGTACCTCGGCTGGAGACTGTACTTTTCGCAGGCGGAGATACCATGTACCGGCGCTCACTAGCTCTTTAGGGCCTGAGCTAAATCAAACTAAAAGGGAAAGCGGCTTTTTCTCTACAGAGACCTATAAAAGAATCAAACGACACTCGCGTAACAAAGAACTAAAAGTTCAAGACCGCACAATGCAATGAATTACGATGCCTTGCAAAATGCAAGGAGCGTCAACTCTCGGTCCGAGGAATGGTCTTCTCGAAAAGTGGTCTCGACCGCTTTCATTCACAGACAAAATAAAACTGCATCAAAAGGACTCTCTTTCACATTCACATCAAAAACACAAGAAGGAGATACCGGCAAATGTATGTACAAAACTTGCACTACAAATGCAAATCATGAAATGACTTAATCATCAACCATGACTGGTTGTCCATTAGAGGTCATCTCAGAAAAGCGACTGTGATAGATATCATCAGTTATGCAAAACTGTCCATACCTATCTACATGCTAAAGCGTATAAACCTGGAATGCAGGAGTATCTTCTTTGATAAAAAAGTTTCTCCTCATTGCAAACCAGAATTTATTAAAACTTCAGCCTGGCAACTTAAAGTCAAGCCTGGAAGCAAAGTATCAACTGTAACCAGAAGTATCTTCACTTCCTAGCCATCATTTAAATTTCAGCCTTCGCTCAGGAATTATGCCGCTGCAGACGATGAAGCTGCTTGATCAGAAGTTGGCGGCCTTCCTTTCTTTCTATTCTGCTTCTGTCTCTCCTTCCTCCGCAAGTTCGCCTCATGAAGCGTTGCTCCCATGCGATACTGTCTTCTGTCTCCAGATGAAAGGGAAGCTGGTCTGAGTGAAATAAACATTGGACCATGACTGTCCTCGTCAGTGGGCCTTGAGCACATAACCTCCGTGTCAATCATAGCAAAGTTCTCTGAAAAATTACAGATGAACTCCTTCGTGCTCACTGTGGAATTTTCATATTCCTCTTCACTCATTGAATGACCCCATTCAACAATGGTAGACAAACATGTATCGCCAAGCTGTGATCCTTGGTATTCTTCTTTTTCAACAGTAGAATATTCTTCCCAGAGTTTGTCAAAGTAATCTTCACACTTCTTGAGGACCTGTGAAGTTGAACTGTAAAATGTTCTGGGAATAGGTGCTTTGATACCAAGATCTGCTTTTACACGAGCTTCTGAAAACCTGCGGATCCAATGCTGCATGGTGCTGTAATAGTAGTTAGCCATTGGCTGCCTTTTGTACCCAGACATTCTGTAGGCCAAACTATTTGCATCACCAGAAATGATGTCCACCTCATAGACAAAACACTCGTAAAGCATCAATGCTGTCTGTTCTCCTGTCAGTAGGTGGGCATCCACAGCACGGTGTGTATCAACATGATAATTACAGACTCTGATGGTATGCATGTTCGCTCGAGTAAGTGGAACACGCTTGTCCTCAGGACCATAGTCATCAAATTCAAAGTCTGCATCCTTGAAATCTTGACGAGGCCTTGTTTCTCCAAAACAAATCTCGTAGATAGCCCAAGTTACATCACGCTGTTCACAGTGACCAAGTTCTTGATCATGTCCAGCAATGATCTTGACATATCCACCTGGTGCCAATCTAGCCATCACTGCAAGATTCTCCCAATCATTGAAACAAACTGTCCAATTCTTTTGCTCAATAAATTCCTTGGCAGGAACAAGAAGATGAGCTTCCTGGAGAATCACGACATGTGCACGTAAAAAGAAGAGCATGTTGAAGAAAAGGTTGTTCTCAAATTGCTCATTCTGAAGTGACATGGCGCTCTGTTTGCGTGGCCTCATTGCACTATCAAGTCCTTGGAGAAACCTTGGTGTGGTGTACTTCTGACCACGAACCATGTTGCCATAGTTCCAGGATAAAAATGTCAAGGACTCTGAGCTGGCCAATAAATTAGTTCCATATGGTTCTTCTATTCTTCCCTTGAGGAACCTTCTGCACAGCTCTTCATAGAAGGTGACAAAGTCCCAACTGGGTCCCTTGGGACCATATGATTCCAGTTCCTTCTTGAGTTCCTTTTTCGTATCCTCCAATTCTTCTCGAGCATGACCTGCCCTTTCAAGGGCCTTTGGATCGACCTGATACCTGCCATCCAAATAAATGATGCGGTCATCATTGATGAAGAATCTCTTCAAATCATGCTCTGGTTCATGTTCATAACAATCAGGTGGAGGTACTGGACAGATATTGCGAATGGATCGAACAAAATCATTCTCGTTGATCCTTGACTGATAATGAGGATGGGAAATCTCACCTTTTCTGAAACAAACATGATTCAGCAATCTTGCATGAGTTTCCCTGAAGCATAGTTGATAAAAGCCAATACCTGGATCTCCTGTAAGCTCTCCAAGCAACTTTAAAGGTGAAGTTTGCAACTCATAGGTATTGTCAGCTTTTGTTGTATCCTTTTCAACAACTACTTCAGATGGAAAAGATTCTTGGATTTCAGCCTCCAATTTCTTCTCTCCATCATCCTCTCTGACCTCTTTTATTTTCTCCACCGCCTCTTTCTTCTCTTCCATGGTTGCATCATCCTGAACTTCTTCATGAAAATGAGGATCAGGAATCTTATTCAGGCGGCTTCTCTTCGATTTCCGCTGACCTGAAGTATCATCAAGGTTAGCATCCATCTCACCTGATGGTAAGTGCGATGCAGTTGAGTCTTCACCTATCTCTCTTGACAGAAAGTGTGGTGTTGACTCTTCCTTGGCTTCCTCCTGGTCGTCTTCCATCTTTGGTTCCTCTGAAGGAAAG